GGAAATGTACATACTTTAGAGGCAAGTTCATTTTATAGCCACAATTAAAATTCTAAAAAAATATGATATGGGAGTGCTTCCTGTGCTGAGAATTTCACAATAAATGGTTGTTGAATAGATAAGTATATGAGTTTAAGGACTATTAATTTAATGTGATGTAACCATTTGGTCACATATCCTTAAATATTGACTTGTGATACCTTTAAGTTCTTACTCTTTTGTATTATACAATTGGTTTGGGTTCTCATTTTTTTGTTATTCAGAAAGTACACAATCATCTGAAATGGTTTAATTCTATATTAATTAAGAAATATTTAATATGTCTCTAATATGTGTGACACAGTCTGCTAGACATTCTGGAAAATGCAAAGAAGTTTCAGTTTCTACCATTGAGGAGCTCTCATGGTATTTGGGACATATGTATAGACAGATAATTAGGAAGCAAATGTGCAAAAAGTGCCAAAAGTTTGGTTAAGACAATACTTGCCTGAGGAATTTAGAAAGAGAAAGTGTGATGCAGGAGGTAAAATTTGATCAAACCTTGGAACGGAGATAAGTTTGAGTGGACAGGAAGGAAGAGAAGTATTTCAGGGTAGCCCCCGTGGCGCAGCGGTTTAGCGCAGGACGTGATCCTGGGGACCCTGGATCGAGTCCCACGTCAGGCTCTCTGTATGATGCCTGCTTCTCCCTCTGCCTGGGTCTTTGCCCCTCTCTCTCTCGTTCTGTCTCTATGAATAAATAAAAATAAAATCTTAAAAAAAAGTATTTCAGATAAGTGAGCACCTTGAGCCAAGATGTAGGGCAAGAATGAAGTGTACTCAGAGACATATCAGTTAGGACTTTTTTGATTGTAGGCAACAAACACCCAAACCAAACTGGCTTAAGCAAAAAAGGAAATTTATTATGTCATCTAATCTGAAAGGTTCCAGGGTTGGGTCTGGCTTCAGTGACGGATTGATTCAGCACTCAGTCATGGCCTGGTTTCCTTCCATCCCTCTACTCTGCCTCCCTATGTTAGCCTTAGTCTGGAGCTGCATATGGTACAAGGATATGGGAAGCAACTCCAAGCCTACCATTCTTCCAAAATCAGGATTCATTATAAATATGAAGTCCTTGTGAAAATCTCCTTGTGTCCTGTTAATTTGGGTTAGATGCCCATCCTGAACCCATCATGGATATTGGGGAATGCAGTAAGCTCACACTTGCTTCTGGGTCATAAGCCCATCCTTGCCCCACTCTCAAAGATGAGAATATGGTCATCCTGACAGGAACCACATAGTACAGGAATGGGGCATGTCCAAAGGAAAACTGAGGTATGGTTAACTGTAAACAGAGTGAATGGATACTGTGTAAGAAAATCAAGTGTCTGCTAATGGAGAATAAGTCTACAGGTCATTTGGAGTAATTACAGGAACTAGACACTGGAAGTTTTTCCTGTAAGCATGTTGTGAATGTTAGGACAAGGAGTTGGGCTTTACGAGGAATGGTAAATAAATTGGACCTGCGGATAATTGACCTGTCAGCTGTGTGCAGGATGGATTGGGGGTTGGGTGCTCAAGAGGGAGATAACATGACCTCTGTTGTACTTTCCCATATTACAAAAGCTGCAATGTTTGCAGAGTATCTGTCGTGTGCTTGTGAACTATGGAGAATACAGAGAGGATGCCCAAGACTTGATCTTGCCCTTCAAAGAGTCTACAGGGTGGCAGAGAAGACAATGAATTGGAGGCAGTTGTGGTGTAGGCAGGGTGCACAGTGATAGCAAGACTAGGTTTCATGGAACACAGAGAAGGAAGACATTCTTAAAATGAACCATAGTTATGGAGCTGGAAGCCAAGTGAGCAGGAACCCAGGGAAGAGAGGTCTATAGACAGTGACCCCCTCTGGAACATCTTTGAGAGCAAGTCAGTTGGAGACCCAATCATTAGTTGTGTGGCCTTTGAGAATCTGGGTAGGTAGGAAACTGCCTCTCTGTTATCAGACAGGCCTCTCTTGGAGTTTACAGACTCAGAATGGGATTGTACTGGCAGTGGAGCCTGGCTTGCTGTCTCTGAAAGAGAGGGGTTCTCTGGCCATCAGCCTGGGAAAGCCCTGGTCTTTGGGCATTTGGTGTTGCCTGTGGTCAGTGTCTTCTCTCCAGCTCACTCCGGTTGGGAACAACAGAGTGAGCTACTGGTATATGGTGGCTCCATTTTATTCTATTTCAATAGACTTCAGAATAAATGGGAAGAAATTGCTTGGGCCTTCTGCAGGAGGAGAACTGAGTTCCCTTCCTACTTAGCAGTGCAATTCAAGCAAGTCTCGGCACATGCCTGGGCCTCAGTTTCCCTGCCATTCAGGCCAGTATCTGCACATGCCTGGGCCTCAGTTGCCCTACTTGTAAAGGCAAAGCCTTGGACAAAGAATGCCTTAAAAATTCTCTCTGCCTATAAATCCTACAGAAACAACCATCACACCCTTATTCCATGACATGTGATCATGACATGATCTATTTCCAAAAATAACTGAAGTTACTGGTTAGTGGCACAACTGAAAGCACTGGAGCATTTGAGCACCAGGGTTTATCCACAAAGGGGGCAAACATTTAGAAAGTTGCTAACTAGAGAAAGTGGCAGGAGTGGTGAGAACTGACCGGTCAAAGGGCAAGGGCAAGTGTTGTCCAGAGAGAAGTAAGTAAGGGAGAGAATGTGGTTGCCCTTATAAGGATCTGGAGAAATGAAAGTGAAAATAAGGGGAATGGAACCATCCAAGCCTGGGCTCAACATTGAGTGCCACCAGCCCCTGCATAAACCAGCTTGCAGTATTTATAGAGACAGGGCCCATTTCAGTGGCTGCAGCCAAGAGCATGACTTGCAGTAGTTGAGTAGATTATGGGGAGACAGTAAATATGGAGAAGGTGCCAAGGAGAAGAAGGAGGAAGGGAAAGTGCTCTAAGTTCTGATGCGAGCTTTGTTTTGCATGTTTTCCTCTGACTTGCAGCTCCTTAATTTTAAAACTGTATCTTACATCCAATGATATAGGGAAAAACAAACAAACACCTTCCATTTCTGAGCATTTCAGCCATTTACAAAGCATTTGCACATCCTTTTTTACCTACAGCAACTCTAGGACAGCGGGAAGGGGTTATTACTATTCCTTATTTAAATAGTTCACACAGCCAATGATGGACAGAGCAGTCAGAATTCCTGACTACAATCCCAGTGTGCTTTTCTTCCCCACCCTAGAAAGCCTCAGTCCATGGTTCAATATTTAGTCCAATGCCAATGACTTTTTCTTTCTCAAGAAGGTAGAAATAGAAATATTTTTTTATGACCAAGAGAAGAGTTTATATTACTCTTGGATTAAATACAGAATGGTTTTTTATGTAAGTCAGACTAAATAGACGCCTGTTTTTTTACAAACATTCAACTTTACACAAACAGAACATTTTCAGTTTGCTTTGAAAGCAAAATACCATGTGTCATAACTCTACAGTGTTTTAAATAAAGTTAGGAATTTGGGTTTATAACACTGAAAATATCACAAAATCCGAGGGTAGAAGACCAAGAATTCTGTATGTATATGTGCCCTTTAAAATTCTGCAAGTGGAAGAGTCAAAGGTAGACCTGTCAACAAACCAGTTATTGAATCTTTGTATTAACTGTCTAGTGAAAGGAGAAGTGAATTATTAAGGTTTATCTCCCTCATTGATTTGTAACATTGTTCTTCAGTATGCGGAGAGTTTTTAAAGCAGAGCAGTTCAGCCTAACAAAGCCATTTACTGTACTGGTTCTACACATTGGCACTCTTTTTCTCTTTATTACTTCATTTTGGAACTTTGATTGGCCTATTTCAGATCTAAGATTGCTCTAATGCTATACTGCAATTGTATGAGGGGCTTAGTTTTCACTTTGTTCTCAGAACCAGGCTGGCTATAAATTTATCTCCGTTCTTTGAAGAAGCTAACAGTAAATTTTCAAGAGGGAAAATGGTGGTATATATCCCTACAGAGGAAAAGTAATCTCTTAAAAGCAGAATAACCTCCAGGCTACATCCTTTTAAAGAGAGACTTTCAAACAAGGACGCCTTCAACTTTTATATGTCTTCTATATTTTTCTTCAGGCTTTGTACCTACTCTTCTGCTCTCTGTGTAAGGTTTCTCTGTAATGACCCTATTCCTCCCCACACCCATTAAATCTGTAATGAAGTCATGCCGTTCCCAATTCTGATGTCATAATAACTTCCAGAGCTACAGCTGGGTAGCACATCCTGGAGATCATCTGAGGTTTCATCAGGAAAATGAGGCATAGAGACCCACAGTTGAAATACCTACAAAGTTGGGTCTCCGTTCCATAAATTACCGTGTACCCTGGTGAAAATGAACTTTGTAAAGTTAAATCCAGGGGAAGGTTTCCATTTGGCTTAATTGCATTCGAAGCAGTTTGAATTACAGGCGTTGGTTTCATTCAAGTTAAACCAGTCCGTCCCAGAGACTGAGCCATACTCCCTCATCAACAGATAATAAGATAATTGCGAATGAGGAGGTGCTAAAATAACGGGATGAGCTTGTGGCTCTGTTTCCATGTCTGACAACCTCATCACCTTTCATCTTTATTATACAGCCACCTGGAGCTGAATGTTGATGAATGAGGCACGCCTGGCGTCCTCACATGTCAGACACACACGCCTGGGGCTCCCATTTACCAGGGGCTCTCTAGCTCGCCTGGGAGCTACCAGAAGGAATAGATGTGGAGCTTGGGGAAGGCTGGGGAGAGTTTGAACCCACGACATCATCCATCCTGCCTGTGCCTTCTGATGTCATGACCAGGTGCTCTTAAGAGCTGCATTGGGAGGGAGCAGAAAGCTCCCCACCTGTGGTGACTGTTGTCAACAAAAGTGAGCCATAATGGACAGTTAAGCTGGCCAGCCTATTTTCCAGACCTCAGAAAGTTCCAGAAAGTGTTTCTTTCACCACTTCCTTCAGCCTAATTGTCCTCTTTCTCATTTTATGCCCCTGCTAGACCACCGCTCTTGATAAGGAGAGGCAGGTTTTCCGACGAAGACGCAACCAGGATGTGAGAAGCCGGTACAAGGCCCAGCCAGCTCCACCTGAACTCAACTCGGAATCGGAAGACTACTCCCCAAGCTCATCTGAGACTGTTCGCTCCCCGAATTCGCCCTTTTAATAAGACCCTTTTACTCAAAGTCCTGGCTTAACCCTTTGAGACTCTGAGATTTTTTTCCAAATTAATGTAAAACAGTTTCATCTGATCTATCTAGCACTCAATGCTTGAATGGCAAAACAGAAGGTGTGTTTTCTGGTATCTTTGTAGCGATTTCTCTTTGCTGAGTGAGATGACCACATGTTGTTTGCGAAGACGGCAACTTGCTGCTAATAGGGTCCTCAAAGGGTTAAGGCTAATTTGCAACTTTTTTAAACATAGAAACAATGAATGTGTTCATCAGTCAAACTAGGATCTGCAGTATGTAATATAGCACATGTTAACCCTCTGAGTGCATAGGATTTTATGGAGAACCCCTGGAGAGTTTTTCAGGCCTTTGGATGTATACACACACATTTCTTGATTTTGCTGCAGATCAAGGGATGTTACTAGATGCTGAGATGTCCAGACAAGAAGGACATCTAGAACGATATCTTGCTTGTCATTTTTTTTTGTGGGTTTAGAATATAGCAGGCTTATAACTTAGACATAAGACCTCTCTTTCTTCTTCACAATCCCATTATGAAAGGGACTTTTTTCATTGAGAGGTATGACTTTCAGTTGCTGTGAGTCCTGCGTCCCGAGTGGAGGCAGTTGGGTCTGGCTGACAGCCTGACCCAGGACATAGATGGCAACCCGCAACCCCCCCCCCCCCGCCCCCGCCGCCCGCCCACCACCACCATATCACCTCCACATGAAGATGGGCTGGTGATACCCCAGAAATGCTGCTTCCAAATCAGCTGCTGCTAGTGCCAGCACAGACCCTCGGGAGTCACCATGCCTTGTCCTGTGTGTGGTGAGTGAGGGACTGCCTGCTCAGTATGAGACGTCTACAGGAAAGCAAAAACAACTGGTGGAAAAGAGCAATAAATTGCCAGGTGCTCAATAGGGCTGGGATTTCAAACCGAAAGAGGAAACAAGGCCCCGTTCTTTTTCTCACCTGCTTTTCAAGCGCTGCAGTCTTCAGCGTGAAATTCACGTAGGGTATAAGATCCATACAGAGGAGTGCTGGGGCACAGGAGCCTAGAGCCAAGTGCTTTGCAAGGTGGCCAAGGAGAAAGTACAAGGGGAGGCACACTCCAGAATGTTCTAAGAATGGGTTTTAATAAAATAAACTATTGGTAAGAGAATTCCATGGGCACCTTTAGGTTTACCTATTTACAGTCTCCCAGGAAGAACCGGATGGAAGACCTGGAAGATACCCCTGAGAATAAGACCTCTGTTCCCTGAGATGACCTTTTTATACCACTGTCTTTAGCTGTCTAGAGAGACATGTTGTTTTTTTCCCTTTGGGCCATGTTCTGTCTAAGACCTGTGTTTTCACTCCTGTTACCAAACCTTTCTGCCTAGCCCTATATCCCCAGTGAGTTTCTTCTAGAACGTGTTCCATTTCAGAACGGGGGCCCACAGCCTCCAGTGTGTCACTGCAATGCGTAGAGAAGAGGCTGGCCATGGCGTCTTGGAGGCCAGGGTCCAACTCAAATGTCCTGCTAAGGTTTGCTCAGCTCTATGACCCAGGAGACAACCAGTGAGTGATGTCTCATGAGATTTGCAACTGGATGGCTAAACAGCACTTACTATCTCTGTTCTGAATATACTTCAGTATCTGAAAGTCTTGAAATTCGTATAGTCAGTTCTTTATTTTCAAACACATGTTGGTCTTCAATTGCTGCTTTTCACTCTTCAACTTATAAACTATAGTCTGTGTTAACATACATTTTAAAAATCACAACACGTCATGACTTTTGCAACAGAGTTTCCCCAGTTTTTTTTTTTTTTTTTTTTTTTTTTTTTTTTGCTTTTCCACATTTTGGTTTATCTCTTTGGTCCGTGTTGTCCTGTCATATAAACAGTAGATCATTTATTGAGAGTTTTCTCCCCTTTTAGAGAGTTCTGAAACGATAGCACACAGCATCAGAAAGTAGCACAAGGCAGTTGGGTTTTTTGGGGGGGGTGGGGGGAGAGCACAGAACACCAGGAAGGGTGTTGATGTGTAAGTAGATTCCATATTAGTAAAATACCTTGAACTGGTCAGAAGTCACTGCTTTCTCTAGAACTATAAAGCAAAGCACTATTCTAAGATTAAGGAGTAGCTCTATAGCTTGGCCTCAACTTTAAATGCGTGAATATGAAGAATCCTATGGACAGAGACCTACCTGCAGAAGTTTGTCACTTTCATTTCTTTGTCCAAATTACTGTTTTTCTGGTGGGCATTACATATATTGCTATAGCCTCTATGTACAGAACTTACAGTGCATGGATCAGGCCTTTTTCTGTCCAAGTCTAGGGGGACTGTGGATCCTGTAAAGCTGTGGAGTGTTTCCACACTGCAGAGGAGTAGCTTGGAGGAATGCGGGGCCCATCCAGCATGGGGATCCTAGCGCATCACTGTAGAATTTGAGTGATCTATGCTGAATAAACGGTGGAATGTGACCTGTCAAGTAGAAATATTGAGTAATCAGATGGAATGCAATCTTCAGCATTAAGCTATTGAGATTCTGAATGTCAGAGATGTACTCAGAGGGTTAACAGACAAGCACAAGGCATGCTGATTACATTGGTGTATCCAGACTGCTTTGCTTTTAGCCAGTGCTTTCAAATTTTTTTCACGACATTCTTGGGATAGTTCAAGTTTGAAATAATTAAGTGGTGGTGTTCTTTAAGGAATTTCTATAGCCAAATTGATCTTATTTTTTATTTCACTTTATCATAGAATAAATATGTATCATTATGGCAGTGTATCTCTGTAATTATCGATTTAATCATTGCCACAGTGTTTCCATATATTTTTTTTCTAAGTATTTACTATAGCTCTTATGGTGGTGGCCTGGTGATGGGGACTGTCTTTCCTTTATCGATACATGACCAACCAGATGGTATTTTCAAGGGAATTTTTAGATACATCTTTTTAGTTGGGTAGTAGACTAACTAAAGAAGAACTCCATGACTTGCATCGTGTAAATCATCTTGGTAGATGAGAACTGTTCCTATTGATGAAGACATTGTAGCAGAAATCATTTTATTCGTCATAATCAATGAATATGTGATTTGCTCCACATCATTAGAAGGAAAAGTAAGATTTCAGTCATTGAAAATGTTTTTACTGTAGCCCTCATCTAACTAACACGTGGTGCATATTAAAATAAGCAGAGAAAAAAATACAAATAAACTGCTGAAAACACTCAGTGTTTTGTATTCAGTGAGACCTTCCTGCAATACTCAGTACCCCCATGGGTGGTGGTTAACAGGCCCATCAGATATTATTGAAAGAAAGCAATATATCCATGAATGAAGGCTAAAATTGCAATCCTTTACCCTTTGAGGCATATTTCAGTTGGAAAAAGAAAAGAAAAGAAAAGAAAAACTGGTTTAGCTTAGAGGGTCATGGAGCTACCGTATGACCAAGGTTCACACACATTAAATCACAGTTGTTTGCTGGCCAATGGTGCCCATTAGACGACTCTGTACCCCAGGCTGAAGTACGATTGTGCTTGAGGGACAGCTTTCCTAATATTATCGTGTTGCCTGCTAGCCCTTCTCAGGGTGAGGATCTGTCAGCATTTCCAAGATAAACTTCTGTTTTCAAAGGTTTTTAATTTGACCATAAAAAGGTGCCCCAGGCTGAAGTTTGCTATATAGGGCCTGTTCACTTCCTTTTCTGCCTAATTCTCCCTAGAAAAGGGCAGCAACAACAACAAATTTGGCATGTCCCCTTCACTATAATTGCAGAATTGTGGAAAGCACCAAGAAGCAAGATGGTGGTTTCAACGTAATGATTCATTTGGATGTGGGTTTAAAAAAACACTAATGAGTCACCTGGCATTTATTGTAGATAACATATCTTTTCTATAATTTGTAAATTGCTATTTTTTAAACTGCTACATGATTATGATTATGATTTTTTTTTTTCCCAAAGATCTTTAGGAAACTTGAAGTTGTCAGTTCAAAAGTTAACCTTTCCTGGATGTTATCTGCCATTTCCCTTAGGAATTTGGGAAAAATACTCTCAGACCTACCCTTACTTTGCATGTTGTAATAGAGGGTCAGATATAGGCTTCTTCTGAAGATGCAGATTTCTTTATTCAATCATTAGGTTTCAGGAAGCCATTCTTGTCTGTGGGGGAAAATAGCGATTAAAAGCACTTCCAGAATTAACATTTTGTCAATTCAGATATGGTAAGAGCATAAATCAACACACTTTATACTTTTTTTGGTTGTTCAAAGGCAAATAAATCAACACAACTTGAAGATACTAAACATCTGATTACTGCAAATGTGCTTTAAAATTGGCTCAATGGTGCTTATACATAAAACAGTAACAAATGGGGTTCCTAGGACTGTCAGAAGGAATCTTTAATTTGTATGTAATTACATACTCGAGGAGGAGGTGCTTTTAAGCCTGTCTTTTATTTTTTAATCATCTCAAATATGCAACCATCCATCCAGTAACATTAAGGGTCGTAAACTGGTGGGAAACAGGAAATTCAATGTAGAGGCTTAGAATGCCTCTGGTTAGGGTGGATTTTTTCCGTTTTGTGGTTGTTGTTGATAGGCTTCAACACTGAGGCTGCCGTGATCATTTTTCAGTGATCAAGCTTCTAACTGGCAGGTGTTTTGATCATGAGGTTTGCAGTATCTTGCCCTACAGGAAGAGCGATCGCTATAATTAAACCATACCTGTAAATTTCTTCAGCATTCTTTTTTGGTCAGCTGAAAAGAGACCCTTAATGTTGCTTTACTGTAAAATTGTATATTTTTGTCTGTGATATACTTTATTGATTTAAAGTAAATAATAGTTCTAAAAGCCTTCACTGTCGGTATTAAGAGAAAGTAGGATTTTAAAAGTGATGATAAAGATGCTATAATGTCAATTCATTCCAGTCCAATCAAATGTGGTAAGAAAAAGACCTTGAATAGTTCTCTAGGGACAATTTCTCACTTGCCATTGACATTAATCTTTGATGTATGCTCAGAAAAAATAAAAAGAAATTGAAACTGGTCCAAGGTTAGAGTCATAGCCTTGATAACTATTTTTTTAATTTTATTAGGAAATTAATAATAGCCTTTTTCATTCTGGCTGAAAGAAAATTATTAAAGGATTAGTTGGGTGTGAAATTAAATAGTATTTTGCTCATGCATACTAAAAAGGTGGGCTAGGTACTTGATGTGTTTAAACAAGTTTCTGAAAGGTTTCAATTTGGTGCAAGAAAAAAATTCAATGTTTCCTTTGAAAATACTGAATTTATCAATTGCTGCATGGATCAGATGGCATAGGTTAATCTTTGATTTTCAGAATCTTAATGAAATAACTTTTGAACGATTTGTATCCACGATTAAAGCTGGAATGAGATCCGATTTTTCCCCTAATCTCTCAGTTTAAGCTAATAAATGTAGGTTAATGTGGAATGAAATCATCTGTGATATATTATGTTTATTTATCTCAACTGAGCTTTTTTGATGTTGCCTGTTTTTATGTAAAACATGTTCTTAAAGTTAATAAAACAATAGTACTTGGTGTATGAACTACTATGTAATACCCTAGCTGCAGTGTCCACTCCTTGGTTCTCTTTGCCATAATGGAGTAAAATTTCATTTTAGTTCAATTCATAATTGACACATTCAGTCCACGAAGGAATAACCCAGCTGTGTTCTTGGGGGGAATTCTCTCTATGCAAGGCTTTAAAAATTAGTCATGCGGTCAGAGAATAGCTTTCCCACATGTCCCCCACAGCAGAGTGTATATTTCATGGGCATAATTCAAAAACAACTATTTCAAAAATGTCCCTTTTCATATATTACCTTCCTGCCTGGGCCAGTGACTTGGATAAACACAAAGAAATCAAATACCATTCAGCCCTCTTCTATCCTGCAACCTATGTACAGAAGCTCTCCTGAGAAGAGGGTTGTTTTATCCACTGACCTGTAATCAGCTGCCATTTTTATAGCAATTCCCCATTAGGCATTTCACATGCAATATTGACCATCGAGAACATTGCAAAACTGTACAATGGAATCAAATTCTTTCCTGTGTTAGTTTTTCAATGCTACGAGTTTGAAAGGCCGGCCAGCAAAAGTGACTTGCAGATTCCCTGGTGTCCTGTGAAGGCGCAGAACATCTCCAAAATGGGCCCTGATGCGGAAGCCTCAAAAGGCAAGGACTCTGGGATGGAAGATGATAAAACTGCCACAGGAGGAAACTGGGAAGGAACGGCCTCTCGGGACTCCAAAGGATTGGTAGTTGGAAAGGTAGGGCTTCTCTGCAGAAAAGGAAGTTTATGCAAAGTGGAGGTAAACGGGTAACAAGAGACCGGCAAAGGAGCATCTTGGGCCATTTCTTCTAACCTCTCCTTAAACAGAAGGAAAGCTTTGCTGTGTCCCAGGAGGTAGCCCATTCCCCCAGCTCGGGGAGGAGCACCGAGGGAAGACGAGGAACCCCGCCCAGCCAGCTGGACCAGCCAAATTCAGGCTGGCCATCAGCGCTGTGACAGATGTCCCTGCCAGCTTGCCTGCACATCCAAATCATTCATTCAAATGTTTCTTGAGTAAGTGCCAACCACATGGAAGGCACTTCGTTTGGGCTTAGAAAAGAAAAGGGAAACTCTGCTGTCCATTTTTGGTTTTACTACAGATCAGAAGACTTTTTAAGGCAAGAAAAAAGTCTCCAGCTGGAAGGGTTTCCATTTATTCTGAGGCTTCTGGGTCCAGAGGTCAGATAACGTAGATGGATGCACCCTTGCCCAGTGAGATTTTTGGATTTTCATGGCAACTTGGATTTTCTCGCTTGAAGGTACGTGTTTACCATCTGCCTGTTCAGCAGTGCACACAGCCTGTGGTACTTTTGGCTTTGCTCCTGGCCTCTGAGGTAGAGGGCCTCCCAGAGTCCTCTCTGCCATCTGTAATTAGCATGAGCTTTTAAACCTTGTCATAGGCTAATACTGAACCGTGTCTGTTTATTCAACAAGCCTTGCCAAGGACCCACTGTAGGTGATATGTTGTGCAGGCTAAGACGAATAAGTCACAATTCCTGTTTTTAAGGCTCTCCAATCTAGTGAGAAATCTTCTACTTTGGATGGCCCTGGATTGGGGAGACTGATTTATCACTCACAGATGGTGGAACACAAGTTTGTCAGGGGCGCAGCATCCCTACCAGCCCTCGACCGACACTCTCAGCATGTGTAGCCTGTGGCTGTCTGTAAGCCAAGCATCAGTCACATGCAAATACATTTGCGGCCTGCTCTATTACAACAATTCACAATGCCACCCTTAGAAAACCTCTAGAAGAAGGGAAAAAAGGAAGGAGAGTAAAGATAAGAGCGAGAAGGAGGGAGGAAAGGAAGGAGGACATGAAGGTTGCTGAGCTCAAAGTTGCCTCAGTCTTACAACCTGGTGGATTATCTGGAGAGTTAAAAAAAAGAAAAAGAAAAATATCAATATTAATGTCTCCCAGCGTGCCCCTCAAAACCAGTTTCAGGAGATGCTGTCTGTGGGAATCACAGAACATACCTTGGTGTGGATACAGTATGGCTTTTGCCTCTTCCACATTCCTTAGCCAAGTGAATGGTCCCCAGTGATAGGGTGCATAATAGTAAGATCTCATCCATGGCACCATCCCTGCATTTCTGCAGGAAGCAGGAGGTGGGGCTCTTCCCAAGGATGTTCTAATTCCCATCTCGTGCTGTCCATTCTCTCCTTGACTTTCAAGATCCCCTTGGAGGACCCATTCCTCACCACCTGGAAGAACATTCCCTGAACCTCTATTGCTAATAGAAATTTAAGCCTAAGAGATCCCCCTCCCCCATCTGCCTTTGGGGCAGGTCATCTCCCATCATTAGCAAATGCCTATCAGGTGCCAAGCCCTCTGCTGGATCTTAAGTCACAAGGCAAAACACCTAACTACTGTTTCTGCCGTGCTTGAGGTCCTGTGTATGAAACAAGTAAATAGAGAGGTATCATCCAGAACGATCAGGGCTGTGACAGAGAAAAGCATGGGATGCTTTGGGAGCACTCTGCAGTTCATCTGTGATGGGGAGGATTCAGAGGAGGATTCCTGGAGAAGACACCCCAGAGCGAGGGCCTGAAGCATAAGTAGGAGTCAGCCAAGAGAAGGAGGAAGACACTCCAAGCCATGAGAACATACATAGAGAACATGGAGAAGCTCAGAATTGGTGAGACAGAGGCCTAGAGTCTGCCCAGTGAGGCCAGGGAACAGCTCAGGGATCTGGGTCTCACGGACCATCAGCTGTCATGCCAGAGACAGGGCAGGGACTGGCACATATCCTCATTGTGTGTGGTAAGTAAACTTAAAAATGAGACAGTTCCAGATACAGATCCCCAGGACTTGGCTAAGGAGGAAGTAAGGCAGGGCAGATAGCTAATATGGATCCTAATCACCCCCTCACAGCAATAGCAGAGGGCAACCCCCCTTTGCCAACAGAAGAGCTGGTCCCACATTAATCCTTTCTTATAAGGAATAGAATCTCCACCTCACAAAGCTTATCAGTTCACTGATCACAGGGAAAAATCATTTTTCTCTCCTATGTTGCTCACTTCTGAAAAAAAAAAAAAAAGAAAGAAAGAAAGAAAAGAGAAATTCACTGACCCTGAAAATAGCACTCTCTCTCCTTCTTCCTGGACAAATCCACATTGTCACCTCTCCCTACAGCAGGGTGATAATTAATGTTCCACCCAAGAGAGGTTTTGTTATTCCACCAGAATTACCTATTAATTTGCTGGATCCTTCTGATTAAGTAGTGAACTTGTCATTGCTGGCAGGTTATTCAGAATGTGAAATACCCTTTCACTTTCAACAGGTAAATCAAGGCCCCAAACAACGCACACATTTTCAATTTCCTCTCTCATCATGGTGCCCATTGTTCTCACCATCGTGGATGTCCCGTTTTTTAATAACATTTTCCAAATCCTGCTCTCCTGCCGAGTAAACCATTTTTGCTTCATCAATAGCTTCTATTGTTTCTACTTTCCTTGTGGAGGTTTAACAGGTCACGGTGGTTTCTTAAATTGGAAAACTGAAAATTTCCTGCTCGAGGCCGGGAGGGGAGCCTCATTTACACACTTGTATCCTCTGATTTGCTCAAGGTACTTCTCCTTCCTCACGGTTTTGTGGGTTCTTCTCATTTGCCCATACCTGACTGTGCTTTTCTGCAAAAATGCTGACAGATTATGCCTGTCTTAGTATTGCTGCTTCTCACAACAGACCCTCTCTCAACACCCTTGCACTGGAATATCTGATGAAAATACACCAAGGGAGAGAAAAGGAAGGAGGCAGAAATCAGCCAGGCAGCCCGAGTCTCTAGAATGCCCACAGTTGCATTCATAAAAGTGGGGAAAACAAAGATCCACAGCCTGGCTGACCCAACTGCCAGAGGGTATTTACAGATGAACCTCGGATCTCTTCAGTATCAGCTGAGCAGAGCCCCTGGGACTTGCTCTTAACCAGATCCCAGTGGGCAGCAATGGTGCTTACAGGAGCAGAGGATGCCCTTGGGCCTACGGGGACACTCCTGTTAGTCACTCTCAGGATCATCCTGCTCAGCTCTAGCCCCAACCTGTCAGCGGTGCTTGCTCTCAAGTATGAGAGGAAGGCCAGGTTTCGTGGCCAAATCAGGCCTCCCATCACAGGCTCCTGGCCCCTCCCGGTCCCCAACTCCTCCCGTCAGAGTTTTAGCAAAAACAGCCCTGATATGACATGGCTTGTACCTGCTCAGTCCCAGGCTCCAACCTGCTCTCCTCCCCAGGGGCCCATCTACCACTGAAACCCATGTGGCTTCCCCACCATAAATGCACACGGTTTCACTTCTCCTTAATGTGGTCCTAAATCCAGACTGGCCTCTGGGGAACTCTGGCCTTGGCCTCCATGTCTCTCACAGTCTGGAGATTTGGGAATCATTTCCAAGAAGGTTAGCTTTCACGAGAGAGGCTGTGTGCCCCTATTAGAGAAACTGCATTTTGAGGTATTCAAAAGCACAGTTGGTGGGAAGGCTGTTTGCTGTTTCCTGGGCTGCGGGACACAAATATGTCCTGAGAAATGTCCCAACTACAGCAACTCATCAGGAATCCCATGCGAGCCAGAGAGCCTGCGACATAGAGGTGGAGCTTTTCCATTCTAACTTCTATCACATCAGTATTTAGCTTTAGAGCGCAGACCTGCACCACGCTGCTTCCGGGCTGCGAGTTAGCAATCTCCTTTGCCTACCCCACGGCCTCAGGGGCACGAGTGCCATTACCAGAGTTCCCAGTGGTGTTGTTAACTAGTTACCCTCAAAGAATGTGGATGCGGGGCGGCGGCACAGAGAGGGAGAGTGTATGGGGAGTGTGTGTGCAGTGTGTGTATACATGTGTGTGTATGTGGCATATGTGTGTATGGGGTGTGTGTGCTTACGTGTGTGTTTGTGTGTGGCATCTTTGTAAGCCCTTACAGATGCATGTGTGTATGTGTGTGGTGTCTATGATATATATATATATGTATGTATATGTATAGGCGTATATGTATGTGGTAAATATGTATATA